TTGAAGGGGTCTCAGTGGTAGCTCTGGGACACCCACTTCCGTGGGGCGCCCGCCAACACAAAGGTTTGCACGGCTCGGTGAGAGATCCGAACGGATTCGCCAAGCAGATACATCATTCCGACGGCACAATCGGGAGAAAAAAAAAACATTCAGAAGACGGACCCAAACACGAATTGCACGAAGATAATTAGCCAGACATCTTAAATGCAGGGCCCTCCTGGTGAAGAAGTCTTGAGGTTCAGCAAATCTAAATATAATATATATGATCATACGCCTATATTATCAGTTAATATAATTAAGGCCATTGCCTGGCTTAGAAACTCCGATGCTCTGGCAAAGCGTGAAAGTTCATTACAGAGGAGGTGGCAGGGTGGACAAGGGGACAACAGGGTCGCCCGTGAGTAAACGGGGTTCTCAAGGGTAGTGAGGCGATGGTCATCAATGACTGCGCACAATAAAAAAGAGAAACATGACGTCAAATTTGTGTTTTTTTACTTAAATATGAAAAAGGAAAATGTTGGGATTGACCGACACGTGGCGAACACTCGTCATGCCAATCCTAGCGGAAGGTGTGCAACTCTTCGTCCACCCGGGGTCACATAATGCGAGGTCAACTTTGCAGCGAGTCGAAAATGGTGGTCCTATAAGGAAACTGGCCTGAGCCATGGGAATGTGGAATTTCCAACACTGACTCAGGACCACGAATGCATTGCCTCATGTTAATTTTAGTGGGGAGACACAATGGCTTTTAAAATCGGAAAGAAACTTCAATAACTTATATACGTGCTGTAGATAATGAATCTGGAGATACGGATGATGGTTATGAAGATAATGATGGATGTTGCAAGAAACTGTGGGAGTGGTTTGAATATTATTATTATTGTGGCTGTGGCACAATAATGACGAACATGGAGGAGATTGTGGCGGTAGTGGCGTAGCTTCATTTTGGACTCGTCAACATTGGTAACGATGATGATGATGAAGATGACGGTGGCGATGGCGGTTCTTATACGTTCTAGAGACGATCATGGGGGTCATGGTCTGCTGGCAGACTAATGCTCCCTTCCAAAACAGGTGCCCGATCCGCCTTGTGCCGCACAGGGACAGCTGTCGCTGGGGGGGGGGACCCCGTTCCGAATTCCGTGGAGGTGAGACGCAGTGCAAGTTCGCTCGTCGCGTTTCGAGCGTCCGGATGCGTCCCGGCGTGAGGGAGGGCGGCTCAATAAAAAAAATCACCATCGTCACCACGATCGTAGAACGCAAGGGCAGGCTCCGAAAAATATCGCGGATGCGCCATGCGGGGGGTGCCAATTGCCACGCGCGCGCGGAGCACAAATTGCGGCAGGCTCCATCTCCCCATTACGGGCCCTTTCACTGCCACCGCAGGAAAATGTACAGCAAACCGAGTCAAGCCTTTGGCTCGGGACGGTGCGAAAGAAGTTCAACATACATACACACATACATGAACAGTACGGTACTGTCAATGCAAGGGACCTGTCTGTTGGATCAGGGTCCTAGTGTTAAAGGAAAATCAAATTAATATAGTAAGGTTTACGTGACAAACCTTACTAATTGGCTGTGTTGGGTGGTGGCGGGTTTAACGACACATTTATATTTACGTGATCTAACCCAAACACACACCTATATCATAGATGATATTGGTCGCGAAAGCCTACGTGTTAAACTGAGATTCAAATCACTTTACCGCATTCCCTGGATGATAAAGTGATGTGGCAAGGAAGACGCATGCCGAACATTGGGGTCATTTTGAACAAAGCAAAACAAAGTGCGTGATCAATCGGGAGAATACGGTAACGATGAAGAGCCATCTCCCAGAAGAAGGCGCTGCTTGAAAATGGGCAAGAGACGTCTGTTGGAAGATTATTTTGAACGGCTGGTGGTGGTACCATATCACTATGGTTTGACCGTCTTCCGGGTGACGATTCTGAATTGCCGGGATAAAAAAAAACCGCATCTTCTGGAAGGCAATGCACTCTGTGGATTATTACAAAGTGCACCCACAACTTTTGCTGCGAAATACGCGGAGAAATGTGCGTCTGACAAACTAGAGAATGACGCACATTAACACCGAGTGGGATTTTTTGTTGTTTATTTGTTTGCTAACCTCGCAAGCAAGCAAACTCATCCCATAATAGAGGTGTTTTGGGTCAGATCGCGTAAATAAATGTGTCACTAAACCCGCCACCAGCCGACACAGCCACTTAGTAAGGTTTGTCACGTAAACAGAACATGACAATTCGTTACCAATACAGCACACCCGGATGTGGCGGAGAGCAAATGCACAACATTTACATTCATGCCAATGCAATCCTGCCCACCCACACTCCCCCACCCACACAAAAAAGCGCTGCTCTTGTGTTGAAAAGTATTTTTGTTTCATGCAACGTGATTCATAATTAGTTTCGGTTGGATTAGATCGTGCAGCTGGAGTGTAAATTGTTTAACGATAGCCCCTCCACCACACGACACAGCAAAATCAAATGAAGTTTGCCGCGTGGGCAACCATGCATTATTGATTTGGTTTGTCAGCAAATCGAGAAGAATTCTGAAAAGGCGAGCAAATTAAAAAAAAACAATTTAGTGCAACGATTAGCCGGAGATTACACGCAGCACCGCGAGCTGTATTCCCGCGCCTCCGATTGGCACGGTTGGCTACGTACGGTGCGAAAGAAGTTCAGCATAGGTTAACAATAGCTCAGCTCTCGCCTGAAAGAGCTTTCTCATGCAGGCCCCTAAGTCGGTGCCGTGACGTCTTCGGCAGAGCCATGCAGGTGAATTTAGCTTTGTTATGCGTGTTCAACTTCTTTCGCACCGTGCGTAGTAGCCAACCGCGCTAATCGGAGATGCGGCGGGGGGGGGAAGGACAACAAACGAAAGAGCAGTTCGAAAGAAATTAGTTTTCAATCTAGACGATTTAAAAAGGCATAGCTCCATTGGCTGCCTAATGCGTACGGAGCCAACACCGCTAATCAGAGCTTTGGTCTCTGATGCGCCCCACATATGGAACGATATTTCATCCGCTCTATTTTATGAAAGAGTGCCCAAATAGAGAAAAATCAAGGCAAGTTTTCAGTCAGTGTGTATTACCTGCGACGACAAATGGATCGGAAACATGGACACAGAGCAAAGTGCATTGGACAATAGATTTTAAAAATGCGCAAGGAGCCTGGAGAGGCACACCGAACTATGTATAGCTTTTTTTCAGAAGCGATCTGGCCACAAATGATAGGTCAACGAAGTGACTTCGTGACGTTGGCATTTATAGCAGCCAAATACTTTGTAAACACGTGATGTTGATTCTAAATGTGGAGGAGGGAAAAGCGAGAGGACTCGAAGAAGAATCCCCTCGACCACGGGGTGAGAAACGCCGCAAACTCCAAATATAACAAACAGCAGCAGACGTCAGGCTCGGAATTGAACCCACGATCTCCGGTATACCAGGCGAGGTTGTTAACATCTCGCCTGTGTGGCGCCCACACGGTTGGAATGACACTGAAAGACGGAAATCGGAGCGCATTGGTCAGAGAACAAACGCTGAGACGTCGTATTGGCTTTTAAGAAGAGTAGGCTTGGGCAGAACACAAGGCGTGACGGCCTGTGGTCGAGACCAACAACGGAATGCCAGCCCCAAGACGATACGGGCAGCGATAGCGGCAGATTAGGGGGGGGGGGGCTTCATCCAGCAGTGGATATAACACTGCTGGTGATGTATTAAAGGTCTCCTGAATTGCCCGCTCGGTCATTGTGAATGCTGGCGCTTCTGACTTGAAGCTGCCGGGATGTTGCGGCATGGTCAGCACGCTGCGCCTGCAGTCCAGTGGATCGCGGGTTACATTCAAAGCTACTTCTGAAATCCACTCACGTGACCTCTATTCCACACTAGGGGCGCTGCACTTTCCCACACCCAAGCACAGAGAAATTTCCGTCGCATGACAGTCAACCTGATTTTTTTCCCCTCTCCAAATCTGAATTTAGCCAAATGAAGTAAAAACTAATCTGTTTTAATGTGATGGGTGGGTTTTTGTTTCATGCAGACACTGCTTTACTGGGCCATCACCTCGCTAGCCTTGGTGGTTATATTTGACCATACCTCACCACGATTGGTCATGCAGTGGAGGCCGCGTGAAGTATCGAATGCTCGTCTTCGACACGTCACGTGGCTTCGAGGTGCACCTAGTCTGGCACAAGCGCCGTGGTGACATCACCACCGCTTTGGTGGCAAACGGCCGTTGTTGACTAAGTCACGGGAGACGGTGGCACCAGACGTAGAAGCATAGAAGTACAGTACAAGGGCCACATCTACATGTAAAGCGTGACTGCACCAGCAGTCTGTAACGGGAGGATGTGGGGGGGGTGGTCACGAAAGCTCTCATAAACACGGCGCATTGTGAACGAAACTTTCCAATAAAGTTGCGTTGCTACTGGGGACTCGCCCGATAGAAAATCGGCCGAATTGACCCAAATAATTCCCCGGAACCCCCACGCCTCCGCCCATCTCCTACCGAGCCGCTAACCGTCTTGCCCTCTGGACACCCTGCATGCTTTCCTGTGCGCCTAGCAGAGGCGCTGCCGCTATTCTTATTCTAGATTTGAAGCTTTCGTGACTGCGAGGATTCATGCTCTTTGTTTTTTTTCGGTAAAGTACCAAGTGACTTGGTACAGCCATTCTGCTGTGACTGTTCCACCTGAAGACGGAAGCTTGTGTTGCCTCCGAAACGTCGTGATTTAATTTAGTTGTTTTATTTTATTTTACCTACGTGACTTTACCGAAAAAAAAACAAAAGAGTACGCTATTCTTCATTGTCATCACGCATGCACGGAATGTCTAAATCAAATACTCCCCAAGCTTATGGAACGCGGCGTTACAGAATTTCGTACGTGTGCTTTGCGTCACCTTCCTCGGTGAAATAATCGCGACGACGACGACGACGACGAGCAGAACGAGAACGCAATTCGAGGAGCGACTGAGACCGACTCACCTGTGAGCGTGCACCATTCTGGAAGCCAGCAGTGCGTGGATGACACAGATGGAAGCGCAGCACAGGTTCAGACTCAGCGCCACAGCGGCAAGACACATGGCCGACGTTCTCATGATAGCAGCAGCGGCACCTGCAGCATTACCACTCTCATCCGTCTGCTGCTGCGGCTGCGGCTGCTGCTGCTGCTGCTGCAACTGCTGCTGCGGTTGGAACCCCGGGTACTGCAACTGCTGCTCCGTGTATTGATGCTGCTGCTGCAGCTGCTCGTGATGGTGCAGCAGATCTTGGAACTGCTGTTGTTGAGGCGTTTGAGGTGGGTGCTGCTGCTGCTGCTGTTGATGATGCGGCGGCGGCTGCTGCTGCTGTTGCTGCTGCTGCTGTTTTTCAGTCGCGTGCTGATGTTGCTCGTCGCACCTCTGCTGCCGAAATGCCCCTTGCAGTTGGAAGAGCAGGGCAAGGTTGAGGGCTGCGGAGAGCGAGGCGGACAGGCCCAGGAGTGTCCCTCCCAGGAGAGGGCCGGCCATACGTGCCATGGTGAGGTCCACCCGCGTTCTCTCGCCTCCACTCACCCGGTGGGAGCGTGGCGGAGAATTTAATGCTTTGGGACGCATTGCGCACAGCGCGGCACCGCCGCTAGAGTGATCCCCAATGGAATGGGAGCAACCACCCCCCTCCCTTGAAGCTTGGTGGTTCTCTCTCTCTCAATTTTTTTTTCCTATTAAAAATATGAAATTAAATAATAATTGTTGTTGTTGTTATTATTATTATTTATCATCGGAAGAAATAGTAATACTGTTTAATTAGCTTTTGGAGATTAAGAAAAGAAAACACCGCCCCCCGCTTAAAACAACAATGCGCTAGAAATGCGCGTAAAATGTTGAGGTTTAACGATATTAACGAGTGTTGAGACATTCAGGGTTGGCTGAGCAAAGAGAGAAAGCTCTGCGCTGAGCCGCGAGCTGGCTCGAGGTGGCGGTGGTGGTGGTGATGGAGTGGGGGGGGGGGGGGCTTGGTAGGAGGAGTGAGTGGTCAGGGGAGGAGGGGGGAGAGAAGGGGTAGGGGGGGGTGTAGGAGCGGTGGCGCAGCGGTTAGCGCGCTGCGCTCCGAACCTGGCTACCCGGGTTCGATTTCCGTATCACGGGCAACAGCAGTGAAGATTTATGGAAACTGGTCCAGGGACTCCCCCACCCCCGCCCTCCTCCCCCCTAGGTCGACTCAGCCTCGAATGAATAACTGGCGCGGCGTGTAAACATCGTCACTGGGAAGACAAAGGCGGCCGGGGGTGGTGGTGGTGCTGGTGGTGCTGACCACCCACCACCTCGCGTGCGGCCACCGTCCTGCACAGGTGCACGCGAACCACACTTGCCCCAACAGTCTGCTCAGGGCTGTACGTGGCGATCGTTGTTGTCTCTTGGGTCGTTGGAGTTGCCGATTGTTTGATGACCGTGGTCGTCGTTGTTGTTGTCGATGTTGTTGTCGATGATGTCTGTTGCCGTGTTAACAACAAGGCCGTAGCAATGGAGTCAACATTGGGAGGGGGGGACCAAATCTATTTTTTTTTACAATGTCTAATAGTGTTATTGTATTACATTGCTCTGTTTTTTTATTTTTTACCTTTTATTGTTTCATTGCATGTAATGGCAGAGATTAGGGATTAATAAAGTACAACCATAACCACAATCATACAAACAGAAATCTATTTTATAGCAACATATTGGGGGGGGGTGGGCATTTTGAGCATATTTGAATATTAGGGGGGGGATGTGTCCCCCCCCCCCAATATGTATTATAATTACGGCCTTGGTTAACAAGCGAAATGGATGTTCGCCTCGGATTCACCCGCAAAGGCGTTCGCTCGAGGCGATGCCACGGAGGGAAGAGCCGAGTTCGACTCCCGCTTCCAGCGACGATTCTTTTTGAAACTGGTCCTGGGCCTCCCCGTAGGTCGACTCAGTCAAAACAAATGAGTGCCTGGTGCGGTGTGTAAACATGGTCCGCTGGGGATACAAAGGCGGTCGGGCGTGGTGTTGGCCACCCCCCCCCCCCCTCTCTCTTGTGCCGTTCCGGCCTTCATAGGTGCTGCTCCTCGCTAACAGCACTTGCAAAGGCTATTCGGAGGATCTTTGTCTTGTCTTCGTGAGATACTGTGTTGGTAGTGTGTATGTTTTTTTAATGATGATGATATCACAATCCTGATGATAATGTAGTTATTGTGATGGGCGTGGTATTGATACAAGTAGGGCCATTGCCCGAAACGTCGCCTCTTATATATTGTCTTTTTACGGCCACACCGTTTTCACGACGAAAGCTTTCTGAGTTTGTCGTGAACCGTGCCCGCGCACCCAATGCCTACGCATCATCGGCAGCAGCGAACAATTCGTATAATCAACAAAGACAAAGATCCCCCGTGTAGCCTGAACAGACTGTTGGGGCAAGTGCTGTTAGCGAGCACCTATGAAGGCCGGAACGGTACACGAGGGGGTGGGTTGCCAGCACCACGCTCGACCGCCTTTGTCTCCCAGGTGGCGATGTTTACACAACGCACCAGGTACTCATTTGAGGCTGAGTCGACCTAGAGGAGACCCAGGACCAGCTCAGATAATCGTCGCCGGTGTTGGCCGTGAGCGGGACTCGAACCCGGGTGGCAGGTTTCGCAGCGCTAACCGCTGCACCACCGCTCCCCATAACACAATCAGCGACCCAGCCATTCACACGCGCAGCTCCGAATCGCAAGAGGGCGTCATTGAGCGACTTGCAAACCAAAGAGTATGAATCCTTGCAGTCACAAAAGCTTCAAATCTCGGCAAGGTAACCTCATTTACCCTTTTTACCGGGTAAAAGGGTAAAGGCGTCAACATGCCAAGGGGTAAGGTAACGGGCAGGGTAAAGGTAGCGCGGAAGAATTAGCCGGTAAATACCAAAGAGCACGGTAAATACGGTAAATACCTCCGTGGCGCAGTCTGTGGCCTCCGTTTAAAATTGGAATCATCGAAAGTGTCCTGTATGAATAAAGCGCTCTACCTAGCATTTACCTGTTACAAACCTTGTTCATGTGTAGTAGCAACCCAGTAATTACCCTGTAATCGGATAATTTGTATGGGGTAAGGGTAAAAGGTAGGGTAAAGGTAGGCTCGCTGTTTTAACCTTTGACCTTACCAAGGCCTACTGGCAGGGAGGCTCGCGAATGTGATTCCCGTGCAGCCATCGATGGATGTGCCGTGACCTTCTTGTGACACGCGTCGTGGGGAGCGGGGGGGGGGCACGGCACAGCGAGGGGCCCCCCCACGCTTCGCGAGCTCCGTTGCCGTCACGCGAGCCCCCCCTCCCCCGGCCGTCATTCCTCGCAGCAACAGCAGCGGCGGCGGTGGATGTTGGCTAGGTCAGGGGGGGGGGGGTCGGTCGGCAGCTTTTCAAGGTAGCAGAAGAGGAGGAAGAAGAAGAGGCATTTGGTTTTTTTGCCTTTGGAGAGCCACATCACACGTCGCAAAGCTGCTCATACACAAACACAGCGGGTATACAGCAGATGACAACAACAACATACATTCTGACTTAATAAACAAATAGGGTGATGGAATCAACTGCGTCCATTTCGTCATGTTCCACCTTAGTACTCTTTAACAATACGGGTTGACTGTTGTGCATTTTGCTGTCACCACCAACACAGTCAGTCCACAGTGACCCCATTCCCTGTTATCTACTTTAATAATGAGCCAAGAATGTCTGTGTGTCCCGCGCGTGAGGTCACTACACGTCGAACAGCCCCCCCTCATTAATAATCATGAACTGGTGACGTCCTCCAAATGGACACCCCTCCATGAATAATTAGCGGCTGACGTCACTCCACATGGAGGGCCGAGGCTCCTCCCCCCCCCCTTCTCTGCGTCAACTGACAACCCTCACTACAAAGGCAGAACCCTCACGTCACGTGATCTCCGTAACGCTGCTGAGACATTCAAGTAAAAAGGACGTCATCATGAACAAGGGATTATAACCTTAAAATTAAATAGGTCTGTGTCACCACGCCCTTACAAAACGCACACGAATTGATGCAATGAATATCAACGTCACGGTCCGCTTTTCGCCTGCAAGTTTCACATTCGCCGCAATACGCCCGTCCTTGGTCGGGCAAAAGGCTCGTATTTAAATAACGATCTTCACGTTACGTTCACGTTTGACATTATCACGTACTTTTTTTTAAACGGCTGCCCGCAAGAGAGGCAGCCAAAGAACCGCAAGGTTGCCGAGCCCTGGGCTTGGCCATCGAACAAAGACGGTCACCGCATCGTCGTCGCGCGGCGCTTTCAAGCTGCGGCCGTCTGGAACGCTCTTCCCTCCCGATATTAGGAAGCGACCGGGAGCTGTGTCACTTTAAAATCATCATCTGGATTGACAGACGGATTTCTTTTAAACTGCTTGTTTCTTGCGTTTAGTTTGTTGTTCTTCGCCCGCACCTCCGATGAACACGGTTGGCGATGTGGGCAAGTGAGAGTTATCCATAAGAGGTTTTTTTTTTGGAGTGAATGAGGGTTAGTTGACCGTACTGCATGCACTGCCCTCTACTGCCCACAACGCCCACTGCTGGTGGCGATCACCCATCCGAGCACAATAAAGGATCAACGTCTGCTGAGTTTCTGAGATCTGACGAGATCGGGCGCATCACGGATGATCTGGTAATGGTAAATATATAATCGTTGCTAAAAAATGTGTTGATGGCCATATCACGTGTTAGGATCAATGCGTTTTAATGAGTCCATGTCCATTGAACATGAGCAGAGGCGCAGCGGTGGGGAGATGTTAACACCCTCGCCTGGTATACAGGAGGTCGTGGGTTTGATCCCGACCCTGACTGCCTGCTGTATATTTGGAGTTTGCGTCTTTCTTTCTCCCCGTGGTCGCATTAATTTTTATCCGGGTCCTCCGGGTTTTCCCTCCACAATTGTAATCAACAACACGCGTTTAGAGTATTTGGCTGATATAAATGTCCACGTGATAAGCCACATCGTTGAGCCATCATTTGTGGCCAGGTCACTTCTGAAAAAGAGCGATATAACTCAGTAGGGCCTTACCTGATAAAATAAAAAAAACATTTTCTTTAGTTCTTTTTATTACATGGCATTAATTACAAATGAGTTAAATAAGCAGGACGTGACCGAATTCAATGCGACTTCGTTAAATAGTCAACGTGAAAGCATCGGAAGGGAGAGTAAATATGGTTATGGATGTGAACGCAGGTAAACAATAAGTGTGCGTGGACATTGTATTTGGATGTTAATGTGGGCACGTTTCAAATGAACACGGGGTATCTCACTTTCATTGCCGAGTAATCTGTCTCGCATTGTTCACAGTTTTTCAAAGTTTAATATTGACGACCGCAACATTATATTTTATTATTAAATAATACCGTACTCTAGGGATTATAAGAGACACTTTGTGGAAAAAAACAAGACGGACCACCAGGCTTGTTTGATGTAGCCAATGCTTTTACACGTGACGATTACACATTTAGAGCGTAATTAAATACATACATGTTGTATGTCGATGTTCTACAGGGACTCCTCTACTTACGAACGAGTTAGGTTCCAGAGCTCTGTTCGTAAGTCCAACTTTACTCCTGTCGATTCCAAACATGTTGTACGGCGTCTACAATAAACACGGGGAATGGCTTTAAAAGTTGCATAATGTGTAGATGTCGATGCCACTGGTTCTTCGCGTTCTACATGTAGATGCCACTGGTTCCTCACGTTCTGCAGATGTAGATGCCACTGGTTCTTCGTGTTCTGCAGGTGTAGATGCCGCCACCACCACCATCTATTGCGCGGCGGTTGACCTTACGACGAACAGGTTTTTTCGTATCTCTGAAACTTTGTAAGTGGAATGTTCGTAAGTGGAGGAGTCCCTATATTGTGAGTGGACGTCAGCCCGACGTTGCCGCTGAGCCACGCGACAGCCCTTCTGCCGAGGCCATGAGTACTGTCCTGAGTACAGTGACAATATTTTGGCCAACACCATTCACACGTAATACAGGTTTTTTTTTGGGTTAGATCGCGTAAACATATATAAACGTGTCGTTAAACCCGCCACCACCCGACACAGCCAACTAGTAAGGGTTGTCATGTAAACAGAACGTGGCCAATTCGTCACTAGTACAGCAGCACACCGGTGTGTTCGAAAGCAAAGCCACAACATTTACAATCTGAGTACCACGTTTCGCCAGTAATCACAACTAGCTTCATCAGCGGATAGCCAGGTTTGTCCGGTGGTGGCGGGTTTAACGACACATATTGAGGTGTCATAACCCAAAAAACATGTATTATGGATATTGGTCGTGAAAAAATACGTTAAACTGACGATTCACAAGTACTGAATTGTTCATACATTTTCGTTTTCTCAAACCATAGGTAAAAACATGTTTCATGTTTTTCAAACATATACATAGTACCATGAGGTTGACCTGATAGTTCATTTTCCAATGTGCGAGCATTTATTGGGACACTCATTCACATTCGTGTCTACATTTTTTATCTTACATGTAGGCTGTGAAATGTAGGCTGTTAAATACATTTATGCCTATCGAATTCGTTCGTTCATTCATTTCTTAATCTGCTCCACCTGGTGTAGGTCGTGGAGGTCGCATGTTAAGTAGGGCGGTCCCTGGCGACAGACTAGCACTACTACACTACACTATTATACACTACACTACTACACTATACTACTATACACTACACCATACACTATACACTACACTACTACACTATTATACACTACACTACTACACCATACTACTATACACTACACCATACACTATACACTACACTACTACACTATTATACACTACACTATACTACTATACACTATACTACTATACACTACACCATACACTACTACACTATACACTACTATACACTACACTACTATTCACTACTACACTATGCACTACTACACTACACTATTATACACTACACTACTACACTATACTACTATACACTACACCATACACTACTACACTCTACACTACTATACACTACACTACTACACTATACTACTATACACTACACCATACACTACTACACTATACACTACACTACTACACTATTATACACTACACTACTACACTATACTACTATACACTACACCATACACTACTACACTATACACTACACTACTACACTATTATACACTACACTACTACACTATACTACTATACACTGCACTACTACACTATACTACTATACTCTTTGGTTCTATTGGGTAAAGTCACGTAGGTGAAAATAAAATAACAAAAAATCACGACGTTTTGGCCACAACACAAGCGGCTTTCATCAGGTGAAGGGACGAGACTGTCTGGAGGACAGCGCTGGAAGGCCGCTTGTGTTGTGGCCGAAACGTCGTGATTTTTGTTATTTTATTTTTTACCTACGTGACTTTACCCAATAGAACCAAAGAGTATGGATCCTAGCAGTCACGAAAGCTTTAAATCTAGAATATACTACTATACACTACACCATACACTACTACACTAATATACACTACACTACTATACACTACTACACTACACTACTACACTATACTACTATACACTACACCATACACTACTACACTTTACTACTATACATTACACCATACACTACTACACTATACACTACTACACTACACCATACACTACTACACTATACACTACTATACACTATACTTTACACTACTACACTATACACTACTACACTACACTATTATACACTACTACACCATTATACACTAAACTACTACACTATACTACTATACACCACGCTACTACACTATACTACTATACACTACACCATACACTACTACACTATACACTACTATACACTACACTACTATACACTACTACACTATACTACTATACACTACACCATACACTACTACACTATACTACTATACATTACACCATACACTACTACACTATACACTACTACACTACACCATACACTACTACACTATACACTACTATACACTACACTACTATACACTACACTTTACACTACTACACTATACACTACTACACTACACTATTATACACTACACTACTACACTATACTACTATACACTACTACACTACACTACTACACTATACTACTATACACTACACCATACACTACTACACTATACACTACACTACTATACACTACACTTTACACTACTACACTATTATACACTACACTACTACACTACACCATACACTACTACACTATACACTACCATACACTACACTATACACTACTACACTACACTATTATACACTACACTATTATACACTACACTACTAAACAATACTACAATGCACTACACCATACACTACTACACTATACACTACACTACTATACACTACTACACTATACACTACTACACTACACTATTATACACTACACTACTACACTACACTAATATACACTACACTACTACACTATACTACAATACACTACACTGCTACACTATAACATACACTACTATACACTACACTACTATACACTACTACACTATACACTGCTACACTACTACACTACACTATTATACTCTACACTACTACACTATACTACTATACACTACACTGCTACACTATAACATACACTACTATACACTACACTACTATACACTACTACACTATACACTACACTATTATACACTACACTACTACAATATACTACTATACACTACTACACTATACTACTATACACTACACTACTACACTATACTACTATACACTACACCATACACTACTACACTATACACTACTATACACTACACTATACACTACTACACTACACTATTATACACTACACTACTACACTACACTATTATACACTACACTACTACACTATACTACTATACACTACACCATACACTACTACACTATACACTACACTATACACTACTACACTACACTATTATACACTACACTACTACACTACACTATTATACACTACACTACTACACTATACTACAATGCACTACACCATACACTACTACACTATACACCACTATACACTACACTACTATACACTACTACACTATACACTACTACACTACACTATTATACACTACACTACTACACTATTATACACTACACTATACTACAATACACTACACCATACACTACTACACTATACACCACTATACACTACACTACTATACACTACTACACTATACACTACTACACTACACTATTATACTCTACACTACTACACTATACTACTATACACTACACTGCTACACTATAACATACACTACTATACACTACTACACTATACACTACTACACGACTCTATTATACACTACACTACTACAATATACTACTATACACTACACTACTACACTATACTACTATACACTACACTATACTACTATACACTACACCATACACTACTACACTATACACTACTACACTATACTCTACTATACACTACACTATACACTACTACACTACACTATTATACACTACTACACTACACTATTATACACTACTACACTACACTATTATACTCTACACTACTACACTATACTACTACACACTCCACTACTACACTATAACATACACTACTACACTACACTACTATACACTACTACACTATACACTACTACACTAGTATACACTACACTACTACAATATACTACTATACACTACACTACTACACTATACTACTATACACTACACCATACACTACTACACTATACTCTACTATACACTACACTATACACTACTGCACTATACACACTACTACACTATACACACTACTACACTATACACTACTATACACTACACTATACACTACTATACACTACACTATACACTACTGCACTATACACACTACTACACTATACACTACTATACACTACTACACTACTACACGACTACACTACACGACTACACTACTAAACACAGACTCTAGCTCTTCCTGGGGAATTCCCAGGCCAGCCGAGCGACATCGTCCCACCGCCAGCAGTGTGGTCCTGGGCCGGCCCCAGTGTGCCATGCTGCTGCTGCTGCTGCTGCCCGGTAGAGTTCCAGGGGGAGTCTCCCGGGGGGCATCCTCACCGGGTGCCCGAACCACCTCGACCGGCTCCTCTCGATCCGGAGGAGCAGCGGCTCCACTCTAAGGCTCGCCCGGATTACCGAGCTCCTCACATCATTGTTCATCTGTCGGCATGTGGTACAGAACATGGGAACCAATGTATCCTGTTGCATCGTTTAATTTGTGAAGTTGGTGGAAATGTTACAATTGGACTTTCACGGCTATTTTGTGTCTGCTGTTAACGAAGACTGAGGGGGTGTCATTGTATCATTTACACCCTCAGAGGGACATGTGGAGCACTTATAAGAGGCACAGCAACGAGTGAGAGTCTTGGTCTACCGCTTGTCTGTCACGACGAATGAACACAGCCGTCCCCGAGACACCTTCACGATTCATAACCCGGGTGATTTTATTTACTTCTACGGAAGAACCCTTCAGCACCGTGCAAACGCACATCTGCAATGAGCAACGAGCCGGCGTCTCCGTCCACTCATGAAAGTCAAGGCAAGAGCCAAGGGCACGCGGCTCCTGGCTACCACCACCCATCCACCCAGGACTCAACGCGTCAAGACACCCAACCCTGGCGCATAGCTCCCCCAACTGGACACTCGCGTGCTCATCCACCGCCCTCCCTGAAATTGCTGCCATGGTGGCGAGATGTTAACTCCCTCGCCTGGCACACAGCAGGTCGTGGGTTCGACCCCGACCCTGACGCCTGCTGTATATTTGCAGTTTGGGTGTTGCTCTCCCTCGTGGTCGCATGGATTTTTCTCCGGGTCCTCCGGTTTTCTCCCCTCCATATTCAGAATCGACATCACGCTTTTCGAGTGTATGTCTACTATAAAGTTCCACATGATGATAAGCCACTTCGTTGAGCTATCATTTGTGGCCGGGTCGCTTCTGAGAAAGGAGCTATAGAGCTCAGTAGGCCTTACCTGGCAAAAGAAAGATAGTTTAGTTTAACAATGCAATCACGGTGGCGAGATGTGAACGACATTGCCTGGTACACAGGAGGTCGTGGGTTCGATCCCGCCCCTGACGCCTGCTGTATATTTGCAGTTTGCGTGTTGCTCTCCCCCATGGTCACGTGGATTTTTCTCCGGGTCCTCCGGTTTTCTCCCCTCCACATTTAGAATCAACATCACGCATTTAGAGTGTGCGGCTGCGATAGACTTCCACGTGATGATGGTAAGCACGCTTTGGGTTCAGCTATCACTCGTGATAGCCAGGTCGCTTCTGAAGAGCTACACAGGGGGGCCCTTCAGCTGGTAAAATGAATATAGTTTAATAGTTTAAACTCACGCCACCTCTCTGCTGACTGCTCACCCCGGGAGCTCCGTTGCTGCCCCCCCCACCACACTCCTCCCGGTCCACGGCTCCACGGCACAGGGGGGCAGCAGAGAGCCGGTGGCGGAGGAGCCGTGGCCAATGGGAGAGCTGCGAGCGATGGGGGGGGCGTGGCTCACTTGGAAGGGGCTGCATTGGCTGAGGGTTTAGATGTACTGCTCGTGATATTTTTAAAGTAAAATTTTCAAGAAAATAAAAAATTCCACGCTACTTGTTCGCGCGTGTTTGCGTTTTGGCGACGATTTCTCTAACGCAGGAAACTAAATAAAACCCAGCGGTGGCAGAGTGAGAGGTACCGGGCGCCAGTTTCAGATACGCGCAAGGGATAAAACCCGACTACTTTCCGATTTGAAAATTTAAACGCAACCGCTACAAAACATTTTCGAAAACCGAATATGTTCGTGTACAGGAAATATGTAAAATTTGGCTTTTAAAGCGAATTTTCCTTGGCATTGGTATTCTGCTGCTCAGCCGTGGAGAGCAATAACAGCAGCTGCTACAAACATTTCATCTGGTCAGGCTTTTATTCTAATTGGCCACCCAGAGATGTTTAGCTCCCCGAATATTTTTCCGGCAGCACGGCGGGCTGTTAGGCGCCATGTCCGGCGTTTCGCCCCAAGCGCTGGGAGCTTCTCCAGCAGTGAAGTTCAACTCGTGGTACACAGCACAGTCACGAAACACTCCGCAGCCGCACCCGGACGTTCTACTAGAATCTGCCACCTACGAGTGACGTGGAGATAATCCCACGTTGCATCTTCACTTCTTGTCGCAACTGCACTCTTCCACAGCGCGCTGCGCATCATTAGCCCGTTGAATGTTCCTTGCTTTGGGCATGCAGAGGAATACAAAATGAAGGTGACACTCAAGACTCTTGAGCTTAATTTTTGTTTTCTTTTTCGCGGACAGGCATTTCCCGCTGATACCTGCGAGATGGGGCCACAGAATCTCCACGATCGTCGCAGGCTGCGTCGTTTTTTTTCCCCCGCCAAACCGATCGCGCAACGCGGATTTCTCCTTGCCGTTCGCTTCCCCAACTTCGCCAATAACCATCGGCTCCCAGGGCCTCCCGAGTCGACGGCAGCAGCCGCACGAACCGTCCCCGCCGCCAACTTCCCAAACAATCGGCGGCGGAACGATCACCGAGATGGCGGCAGACCCACGACCCGCCACCCGCCCCACCCCCCCCGCCACTCACTTCCCGATGCAGAAGTCCCGGAAGATGACGTCGAGGATGTCCTCGGCACCGACGCGGCCGGTGATGCGTCCGAGCTGCCGCATGGCGGAGCGCAGGTGCTCGGCTCCCAGCACCGCATCCATCGCGGGCCCCGACGTCGCCAGGAAGTCGCTCAGTGCGGCGGCGCAGCCGCCCAGCAGCGTGCGGTGTCGGGCCTGCGTGAGGCTGGCGTTGCCGGACAGGGGGTCGCCGCACCTGTCGCGCCCCAGCCACCCGCCCGGTCACCACGATCACCGCCACCGTCAGCGCCACCGTCACCAGAGTCATCGCCACAACCATCACCATCACCACCACCACCACTACCGTCATCGCCACCGTCACCATTACCACTACCGTGACCACCACCTTCATTGTCACCAAAGACAAAAGAAGGGCAAATATCCCCCCGCATTGCCTTGCAGACTGTTGGGGCAAGTGCTGTTAGTGAGCACCTATGAAGGTCGGCACGGCACAAGAGGGGGTGGGTGGCCAGCACTACACACGGCACTAGGTATTCATTTGAGGCAGAGTCAACCTAGAGGAGGCCCAGGAGCCATTCAGATAAAATCGTCTCTGGTAACGGCCATGAGCGGGAATTGAACTCGGGTTGCCGGAGTCGGAGCGCAAGTGCGCTAACCGTTGCATGCGGCATCGTTGTCTAATGACACAACCCCGACAGGATCAATGGGGATACAATGAGGGAAGCATCTGTTGACAATGATGGTGAACAAGTGGAGACTCTTTTACTTTTTGAAGCTATTACCATGCATTTGTTATCATGTTACAGTGTACTATCCGTTCTTTTTCCATTAAAAACGATAGTCCCATATGAGTGTTCAAACATTTTTTGAAGCACCCTGTATATTTCATGGAATGAATTGCAACGGTAACCATGGGAGACAGAGAGATAGAGGGAGAGCGAGGGAGATGTAAATCGCCGGTCCGTGCCGTACATTTTCTCCACTTTCTCCTTGAGCAGCCGGAGGAACTCGTCGAGCCCCTCCTCCGTCTGGCAGGACACGGCGCACACTCCCGGCATCGCGCGCTGCCCTATCCTCGCCTCTGCCGCGTCCCGCTGCAGGAGATCCACCTTGTTCAGCACCACGATGCACTCCCTGTGCTCCGACGCTTGGCCCCCTTCCTCCGGCGGGAGCGGGACAAGCGCGGGGGTCGCGGGGGTCGCGAAGTCCCCGTCGTCGAGGATCGACTGCGCGCGGGCGAGCAGCGTGGCCTCGAGGTCGCGCGAGCCGCGCGCCACCTCCGTCGCGTCCAGCACCACCACCGCGATGTCCGCCTGCCGCAGCCTGGGGGGTGGGGGGTCGTTCGCGAGCAACCGGGATTAGCGGCGCAAACGAGGGACACCCGTTGATTCGTTTCCGCTGCAGCCGTTTGGTGGAGGGTGGCGAAGAAAAAAAAAGACTTTCAAGTTACGGTTCATATCATGAGCGCACGGCTACACTAGTCTTCTTGCGTCTCTCCGCGTGCCGCCCCGCTCGTCCCCGCGCGTCTCCCCGCTCGTCCCCGGAGTCCTCGTCACCTCTGCCGTGCTCGGCGGATGCCCTCTTGCTCCACGGGGTCGAGCGAGGGCCGCAGGCCGGCCGTGTCGCTCAGCACGATGGGGTAGCCGGCCAGGTCCAGCGCCGTCTCCACCACGTCGCGCGTCGTCCCCGCTATCGGAGACACGATGGCGGCCGGGCGCTGGCCTGCGGTGCCGCGACCCCAAATATGCACACACACACAAATACAAACAAAGAGAAAGATCCCCCGTATAGCCTTAACAGACTGTCGGGGCAAGAGTTGTTTGCGAGTAGCACCTATGAAGGTTGGTATGGCACACGGAGGGGTGGGTGGCCGGCACCACACCCGGCCGCCTTTGTCTCCCCAGTGGCGATGTTTACACACTGCACCAGGTACTCGTCGACCTAGGAGAGGCCCAGGACCGATTCGGAAAATCGTCACTGGTGTTGGCCGTGAGTGGGTGGCCGGGTTCATAGCGCAGTGCGCTAATCACTACAAAAACAAAGATCTCCCGTATGGCCTGCAAGAGACTGCTGGGGCAAGTGCTGTTAGCAAGCACCTATGAAGTCCGGCACGGCACACATGGGTGTGTCTACACTACCTCACGCACGCACGCAGAGGTGACGTACTCAGAGGTAACGCACACAGAGGTGACGTACACAGCGCGTTGAGGAGGCTGCTCTTGCCGGCGTTGGTGGGCCCCGCAATCACCACCTGCAGGCCGCTGCGCAGCCGCTCGCCCTGCCGCCCGTCGCGCAGGTGAGCGGAGACCTCGGCGCTCAGCCGCAGCACCTCAGCCTCCACTGCCAGACACGACAACGACGGCGATGGCGTTAACAACAACAGGGAGGTGGCGCAGTGGCACAACTCGTAGCCTCACAGCAAGAAGGGCCTGGGTTCGATTCCCGACTCGGGCGCCTTTCTGCGTGGAGTTTGTATGCTCTGCCCCGGTTCTGCATGTATTGTAAACTGCCTGCTAGTAACCCATGCTGTTTGTGTGATTGTACCGTTTTTTTTAATAATCATTTGTTTAATCAAGTAGTAAGCGTCAGCTTCAGGTCAATGAGCTCTGGGTACCACTCCATTTCCTGTCTTGGTGACTTCCCCTTCTCCACGGGTGAAGTGAAATGACCGGTGCAGTGAGTGCATGGAGGTTCCCAAATGCCCTCTGACCCCGTTGCAGATAACCACCTCTCAGATGTTGAAAAGTCAACAACCCGACATCCGAGGTCCTTCCCTTGGTCGCCAAAATGTCCCCTCCGTTGCCTGTCTCAGTCACCTGCCCTCCTCCATAAGTGAGATGCGACCGTTGCGGCGGCCTCGTACAGAGTAACCCACGCAGGCGACACGATTGATGCAGTGAACCCGTGGAGAGTGACTTGGGAGAGACGGGCCCGTGAACGTCCTCTCACCGCGCTGCAGAACCCCGTCCTCAATGTTGTCGTCTTCGCTGAAGTCAATGTAGGCCTCCACGTGGGCGAGACACTGCCGGCGACACGGGCAACGCATTGGCACCGACCGCGGTTACGATGGTTTACGCGGGTGAATGCGTCGAAGGACGTTGGCCAGGGCAACAACGCGAACATTAACACAGGACCCTCCTGGGATTGAGTCAATTATAATGTAAGAACAGCCACGGTTAAATAATTGGGCGCCTGGTCATTATCATCAAAACAAACCGGATTGATAGGGGATGATGATGAGTGCATTTCGTGGCCCGTGGCTTAGTGGTCAAAGCGCCGACCAGACACCATTTGAGATCCTGAGTTCATATCCAGGTAACAGTCACCTGTGATTAAACCGGCTTCGCAAGTGCAGTGAGTCGATGGGTTCAGAACGATCACCAAGGAGTGTGCCAAAAAGCCATCAAGTTAAATGTGGTTCTCTCACTTAATTTAGCTAAACTCCAGCTCTGATAAATACAAATATTAGTTTTGGCTGTTGTGCGACGAACATTTACTCTCTGTGGTAGGGCGGTTGGGACAAGGCTACCCCCGTACTTTGCTGACCAGAGGTCAGTTGAAGGGATTTCAGTGAAGTATCCATCTGGAAAGATCTGGAAAGATCTGGAAAGATCCAGATGGATACTTCCATCCCATTATGTGACCCCCGATCGCAAAATCGGGATAAAATTGTGGAAAAAGACAAAGAGATTAATAAAAAAGATGCATGTGTGGCTGCCTTGAGTGCTTTAGTGAACTGTTGAGGCTATGGGGTGCAGCGGCACACTGTACTGTGAATCCTGCCACCCAAGTCTGCATTCCGGCGACGGCTAACATCCGTGGCGAGTGATACCTGAAGAAGTTTTGGACATCCCCGCCTCTCCAACCCACGCTGACCAGCATCTGGTGAAGTATGGTCAAACACTCCCCATGACTGGGAGCAGCATGAGGAAGCCTTCAATCGAGAAGTGCATGGACAAAGGGCTGCTCCTGACACATACAGAGGTTTGTTTTCTTCAACTATGAAGGAAAAGGGTTGCGGTCAGGATTACGGATTAAAAGCTTTGTTCACATTGGATCACCTTTACAAGCATTAGTGCCTCCTCGGTTACAGACAAGACAGATGTAGTTCACATGTTTAACCTTACTTTGATCACGTGAACAAATGCATTGTTTTGTAACCACCACGGCGCCAGCAGGTCACGGCATTGTGAGCTTTCGGATGCGCTTCTGCGGCCGTCTGGAACGCTCTTCCGATATTAGGAAGCCACTGGAAGCTATGCACTTTTAAATCATCTAGATTGAAAACTCGCTTCTTTAAAACCGTTTATTGTGTTTGGCTTGTTGTCCTTCCCCCGTACCTCCAATTATCACGGTTCGCTACGTACAGCGCGAAAGAAGTTCAACGTACATACATACGTTGCCCTTGAAAAAAATAGCTTCTTAGTTCAACGGGCTTCAACTCGGTAAATACAACGTCTGAAAACTTCTGAAAAAGGAGCGCGCAAGTTGCCGGGAGCGCGCTAGCGTCAACCTGCTTGAGGCGGTCACTCCAGGCCGAGTAGAGGCGGCCCAGATCTCCCTCCATCTGCCGCAGGGCCTGCCGCCTCTGGGCCTCGGTCTCGGCGTGGATCAAGTCTCCCAGGCCCTCCACCTCCGTGAGCTCCAGGCGCCCATTCTGGAACGCGCGCTTCGTGAAGTCTCCAGCCTCGGCCGGGCGCAGGCCCTCGATCTCTCCTGCTCACCGCGGCGGTTGAAGCGCGTACGCGTTAACACAAAGATCCCGCCGTATAGCCTTTGCAGGCTCTTGAGGAAAGTGCCGTTTGCGAGCACCTATGAAAGCCAGAAAGGCGCACGAGGGCGTCGTGTGGCCTGGACCAAGGCCGACCGCATTTGTCTGCCCAGTGGCAATGTTCACGCACAATGCCAGGTGCTCATTTCAGGCCTTGCGAAGGACCAGGACTGGTTCGGATATGAGTTGCTGATGTTAGCTGTGAGCGGGAATCGAACTCAGGGTGCAGGCACACATGCACACAACAAAGACAGCAAGAGCCACCATTCGTTATGAAATGCCGGTAACATCGCCCAAGTGCTTGTGCCAGGCTAGGTGCACGTTGAGACGACTGGCAGCTTGTGGGGTTTTTATTGGCTGGTAATGTACAGGCAGTGACCGACGAGGCTGGCCGGCTATGGAACGAGGATGGAGAAGATCGCTAGGTTGGGCATCTGTGAAGAGCTTCGTAGCTCATCAGATACCCCCAGTATTAATACATCTTCTGATCCTGATTCTGCAGCGGTGTTATACAGAGTGGGAGGTCGACTCAGCCTCAAATGAGTAAACATCGGCACAGAAAGATGGTCGGGCATGGGTGTTGGCCATCCACCCCCTCGTGTGCCGTGTCAGCCTTCATAGGTGCTGCTCGCTAACAGCACTTGCCCCAGCAGCCTGTTAAAAGCTACACGGGGGGGATCGTTGTCGTTGTGTGGCTGAGCACACAAATGCACACATGTGCACATATATGTACACACACGTGCAAGCACATGCACAAACGCACACACATTACCTTTAAAAAATTATTACCGTCATGAGCCAATGTAAGATGGTGAATATTGTATCCATTTACATTTTTTCCCATGCACCCTATAACTGTTAGAATTTTCTGTAACTCCAATTGTAATCATACGACGATCCCTCTAAAAATATTCTGCCTGAACTTACGCTACAGGGAAGTTGTCATTAAACAACGATAAACGTTTGTGCAATATATCTGATGTTTATCTGCATCATCGCTGTACTTTTAACTTTTTTTTTGTGAGCCAGGGTCTCCCTTCTCAAACATGACTCGTCCCGGTCTCTCGAGTTCTCACCTCGTTAAGCAAATCAACTCGACGACGCTCGTCCCTTTACAGCGAGCGAAGAGGCAAACGAATGGAGCGGGCGCGACCGAGCGCGTGAATACCTAGAGCTCGAAGGACAGCGCTCACCACCGCAGGTCCTCCGTGGACCTGGAACTCGCACGAGTCCTCGCCGGTGAAACTGTTGGGTCCTGCAACAAAAAATCCACAAGTCCATAAATGAAAGAAAAAAAAAACCAGGACGTTGTGACCACCCTTTTGGCTCAGGGGGTAAAGCGCTGAGCTGAGGCTCTAGGTTCACGTGTGTACCCGCACCTCCGATTGGCACGGTGGGCTATGTACGGCGCGAAATAAGTTCAACATGCAGGACAAAGATCACTGTATAGCCTTTAAAAAACTGTTGGGGCAAGTGCTGTTAGCGACCAGCACCTATTATGGCCGGCATGGCACAGGAGGGGTTGGGTGGCCAGCACCACGCCCCGACCGCCTTTGTCTCCCCAGTGGTGATGTTGACACACTGCACCAGGTACTCATTTGAGGCCGAGTCGACCTTGGGGAGGCCCAGGACCGGTTCAGATAATCGTCAGCGGTGTTGGTGGTCGTGAGCAGGTATCGAACTCGGTTAGCCGGGTTCGTAGCGCGGCGCGCTAACCGCCAGCCGCACTGCCGCTCCCCACACAAACGGTACACACAAACAGCAACGTTGGCAAAGCTCAGAGGGGCCGATCACCTGGAAACCAGAGCACCAGGCCCCTGTCGAGGGCCTCCCCGGACAGCGGGTTAACGATGCGGCGCAGGGCGGCGTGACGCGGACGCGGCAGGGCCCTCGCGCCCGTCATGCGCAGCAGGGCGGCCGCGGCGTGCGGGCCCGACACCCTGAGCACCGCAACGCCGGCCCGGCATCCGCCGGACGACAGCGCGAACACGGAGGAGGAGGAGTCCCCGCGCCCGTTCCGGCGTCCGTCGTCCATCCAGGCCGACCGTCCGTCCCGTCCGTTACGATCGTCCGCCGGGGTCCTGTGGAGCTGCGAGCCGCTCCACCCGCGCACGGCCGCCACCGCTGCTGCCGATGGCCAAACTCGGCGGTGCCGCGCGAAGCCCGGGGTCATCATCGCCGGTCGCCGTGAGCTCTAAGGCGGATCGGGCGGTTACAACGCGATGCATCACAATCTGGTGGTGCGATCTACTGGACGTCTACGGGACATTTGTGAAAAAGAGCTTCATAGCCCATCGGATTCTTCTCGTATTAATTTTCTGATTCTGAACTAAGACTGAACGCGTTTATGCATGAGCTGCATCTGTCTTCTGTCTGTAACCGTGGAGGGACTTCAACGATTTTGATCCTCCAATGTGATCAAATCATTAGCATAGTGTGGCGTTGCTATTAGGGATTTGCCCTGATAACTGGAAACATTTGATCAAAGCATTGCCCAGAGCTTGGGAGACCCAAACCAGAGCAATAAAATAATTGCAAATATCCAAACGCAGGCTTCCATACCACCTTATAACATGTTGGAGTGTTCCATAACCCATGAGTATGCACTGTATACATTTTCCGAACTTGATGACTCTTTGTTTTGCTTCAGCCCCCACAATTTGCACGGCTAACATCAGTGGCGCATTACATCTGAACTACCCCCTACCCACCCCCACCCTTTGTCAATCCACTGCTGGATGAGGGCCCTCTTCAGGTCACGGGGAGATGCGTGACCATACTTCACCACACCGCGATTGGTGAAGGCGGGGGGAGCATGGAAGTACAGCACAACAATGCACCTTGTCCGCTGCCCACCGCCTCTAGCGCCGACCACGCACGGCACGGGGGCGTGGGGTAGTGTGGGAATCACGAACCAAGCTCACTCCAGCCCTGCTTTTTAGCTTCAGAGACATTGTGGGCCATTGCGTGTCAAACTTCTTTCGCACCGTACGTAGCCGAACCGCGCCCGAGTCGGGAGGTACGCGCATATTTGTCCGGAGGCGAGCACGTTTCCACGCGTTGCACTCGAGTCCTCGTGAGAAATATCGCGAGTGTTTTCGGCCGCAACCCCCGACTGGTACGGTGCGAAAGAAGTTCAACAGGCGTACTGTACGGAAGGCAGTGCACGACCGGCGCGGTGACGTACGGTCAGGTCAAGTAACACGCACGGCACCTCAGTTCTAACGGTGGGCTGACACGGGGCTCTTGCAGACGACGACGTCTGCACAAGTTGAAATGTTTCAGCAGCGCCGCGACCTGAAGACGCACGCCTCCACTCGGTCAACTCTCACCCCGAAACACGTGCGCCCCGGCGATTACATTCCCTACAGCGCATAGGCGGCGTGACCCCTACCCCAACTTCTCCGTCACGCGACGTCGCGATTGGCTACCGCGGCGTCGCGTGACGCGGCCGCGCGTTCTATGCGGTCTATGAAATGCAATCGCGTCGCTTGCGGATTCCGAAAGCCGCGTGCGTTGTGGGAGATTGACTCGGCGTTCTGGGTTTGTGTTTGTCTTTATAAGTCAATTAGTGGGACAAAGTAAGTAACACGTAGTCGCCCGCGACGTTCATCGGCGTTACGGATTAGGGTCTGTTGCTGAAGAATGTTACGATGGTGTTTTCTGTTTAAACGCCAAGACATCTGAACGTGCCTGAGCCTGGCTCAAATGAGACGTTAACCCTCTCAGGCCTAACGGTGGCTGTAATGTTACATTGTTAGTAAAGCAATTATCATCATCATCATCACACGATAATAATTATAACAATGATTGAATGTATATTACTCGACGCAGTGTTTAGCCTAGGGGAGCCCCTAATGGCAGCATGCCCCTTAGCAGACGCGTGTATTATTTACCTTGTGTATTGTATACTATGTATTATTTACCTTGTGTATTGTATACTATGTATTATTTACCTTGTGTATTTTATACTATGTATTATTTACCTTGTGTATTGTATACTATGTATTATTTACCTTTTGTATTGTATACTATGTGTATTATTTACCTTGTGTATTGTATACTATGTGTATTATTTACCTTGTGTATTGTATACCTTGTGTATTGTATACCTTGTGTATTATATACCTTGTGTATTATTTACCTTGTGTATTGTATACCTTGTGTATTATTTACCTTGTGTATTGTATACCTTGTGTATTATATACCTTGTGTATTATTTACCTTGTGTATTGTATACCTTGTGTATTATTTACCTTGTGTATTGTATACCTTGTGTGTTATTTACCTTGTGTATTGTATACCTTGTGTGTTATTTACCTTGTGTATTGTATACTGTGTATTATATACCGCGTGTATTACGCAGTATAATTTTACCGTATTTGTCTAGAGTTCATACCACGCGTTCTTTACATACCGCTTTTACCCACGTTTTGTTTAAAGGGCTATTGACTGATAACTAAACAAGTTTGAATGTCACAGTCTGCAAGGTCACTGCTGTCTGTGGCTCTCGGTTTGCTTTCGTGCGTTTTTTTTCCGTGCAGCAGGGGCGTGGGGCCTGAGTGGTTAGGAGATGTTAACTACCTCGCCTGGTGTGCAGGAGGTCGTGGGTTCGATCCCAACCCTGACACCTGCTGCTGTATATTTGGAGTTTGCGTGTCTCTATGTCATCATTATCACAGTGGCTAGAAGATGTTAACTACCTCGCCTGGTGTGCAGGAGGTCGTGGGTTCGATCCCAACCCTGACACCTGCTGCTGTATATTTGGAGTTTGCGTGTCTTTCTCATCATCACGGTGGCTAGGAGATGTTAACTACCTCGCCTGGTGTGCAGGAGGTCGTGGGTTCGATCCCAACCCTGACGCCTGCTACTGTATATTTGGAGTTTGCGTGTCTTTCTGTCATCATATTCACAGTGGCTAGGAGATGTTAACTACCGCGCCTGGGGTCCAGGAGGTCGTGGGTTCGATCCCAACCCTGACACCTGCTGCTGTATATTTGGAGTTTGCGTGTCTCTGTCATCATCACAGTGGCTAGGAGATGTTAACTACCTCGCCTGGTGTGCAGGAGGTCGTGGGTTCGATCCCAACCCTGACACCTGCTGCTGTATATTTGGAGTTTGCGTGTCTCTCTTTCATCATTATCACAGTGACTAGGAGATGTTAACTACCTCGCCTGGTGTGCAGAAGGTCGTGGGTTCGATCCCAACCATGACACCTGCTGCTGTATATTTGGAGTTTGCGTGTCTCTCTGTCATCATCACAGTGGCTATGAGATGTTAACGACCTCGCCTGGTGTACAGGAGAGTCGTGGGTTCGATCCCAACCCTGACACCTGCTGCTGTATATTTGGAGTTTGCGTGTCTCCCTCTCATCATAATCACGGTGGCTAGGAGATGTTAACTCCCTCGCCTGGTGTGCAGGAGGTCGTGGGTTCGATCTCCACCTTGACGCCTGCTATTGCTGTATATTTGGAGCAGCGGTCGGCAACCAAAAATTACAAGGAGAGGCAATTTTTTGTTCAAATTCGGTTTAAAAAAAACTCCCTCTATTTCAAGAGCCGCAATGTAGTCAAATACGAGACGGTGGTCCTGAATAAATAACGTCACGAAGCAATAATTAAAGAGCCGCATGCGGCTCCCATAGCCGTCAACCCCTTATCAGTGCCCTACCTTATTACAGACCAATTCAAACCTTATTGGTCACCCGTGACCTAAATCTCAACGTTCATCCTACAAAGTCCCATCCCAAGGGAGAGAAACACACAAGACAACAACAAAAAATTTGCCCGCATTGAAACGGCTGTATGCCGTGTGGACCTGAAAAATAAATTTCCCTGTACAAGAATACAGGTGAACCGTATGGGCTGACAGGTTGCAGACCTCTGATTTAGAGTTTGCGGTGGATTTTTCTCCGCGTCCTCCGGCTTTTCCCCTCCACATTTAGAATCGACGCGTCACACGTTTTGGAGCATTTGGCCGCTACGCATTGCCACGTGATGAAGGCACTTAGTCGCGCTAGCATTTGTGGTACCCGTGAAAGAGCTAGACAGCTCGGTGTGGATGGAGCCTTACCTGGTAAAATAAAAAAAAATAGTTTATAGTTCATGTTCGAGACTACCGTTCTCTTAGAAGCGTGCTCATTAAAGCAAGGACTTGGATATTTTGCTGACCTTAATTAAACCTTACCCCTACACTCTAAAAACCCAATTGCCAATCATTAAAGCAAGGACTTGGATATTTTGCTGACCTTAATTAAACCTTACCCCTACACTCTAAAAACCCAATTGCCAATCCGAATTCCTAAGGCAACGACCCGGAAAATATTCTGCGAGGAATTAAGCCCCGTTTGTATCTTATTTTAATTCATAAAGCGCCTTAAGGAAAGCACGGAATAGGGAAGTTTAAAATTTACATTGAAGCGGTGTTATGAGATGAGTTGATGATAAGGGTGGTGGTGCATCCATGAGAATGATAAAAGTGACAGTGAGTGGTTTATGATGATGATAAGTGAGTGTGATGAAAGGGTAGGGACGTTGGGAAGAGGGGATGATGGTGTCAACGGTGAGGAATGAAGGTGGGAAGGGGAGTTGGGGTAAGCAAAGGAAAATGAATGAGTTTTTCGGGAAGAAATAAAAATCAGTTTGTGACGCTCATTGTGGGCAGTGGTAGTGTCGCGGTGAGTGCACTGCCCAATGAACCCAGCGACCCGAGTTCGATTCCTGCTCATGACCAAAACAAGCGACGAATATCTGAACCAGAACCGGCCTCTCCTACGTCGACTCAGCCTCAAATGAATACCTGGTGCTGTGTGTAGACATTGTCAATAGGGCGACAAAGCTGGCCGGGCGTAGTGCTGGCCACGCAACCTCTCGTGTGCCACGCCAGCCTTCATAGGTGCGCGCTAACAGCACTTGCTTCAATAGTCTGTGGCAACTTTGTATTGTACATACACAAATGGACACTAGGATTGCAGTAATTCAGTCCATCCTGACTATTCAATGACTTCTCAAGCAATTAAACTGCAAATGGTGATCCCAGCTTGTCAGACTGACTTTGAGAGTGTTTAGTCCTTTCCCTAACCCAGTGCTCTACCGGTTCTGCTATCGGTGTCATGTAGTGAGACGAGGTATCCCTTGTAAAGTAGTGCCTCCCTTTTTGTAAGGGTACAGTTCACGTAAGCAGATATCACAGAGCTACCTTCAATATGCCTTTCAAGTGACCTCTGCTCCACAAAATGGAGGGCAGCAGTTTGTCACCCGCTTTTGCAATGATGCCCGTCGCATGGCGGTCAAACCAACGCTTGAATTCTCGGCAAAAACTTGACCGAAATGTTTGCGCGGAACCAAATTTTAACGTGCCGATTAAAACGTCGGTTTGATCACACGGGGGGGGGGGGGGGGGGGGGTGGTGTCTTTGTATCGGTGTTCCCGCAGCTGGGATGAGTCGCGTGGTGACGTTCCTGCGCAGCAAGCTGGGCATGCTGCGAGTGCACATTGGCACCGACTACCTGGGCAACAAGTATTACCTGGTGCCCGAGCAGCGCACGTGGGCTGGTGGGTGCGACGCCGCAGTTCAAACGGCGGAACCTTCATCTCGCGCACACACACACACGCGCACACGAACGCACGCCTGGACAAATATCACAATATAGGACCACACGGCGTAAGAAATGGTTGGCATTGGTCCAGATAAATGCGACATCTGTCTTGCTGGGGTGGTGTTGTTGCCTTGGTGTGGTTGTTGTTTTGTCTCCTTGCCCAAGCTTTGCATTTTGTTTTGACAAATCGGCAGGAGTGTGTGCACTTGTGCAGTTTGTGCGTATTTACTTTGTTTACATTTGTACATTTTTTTTTGGGACTTGCTTACCTTTTCTCTGTTTTGCACTCGTTTTGTTTTTGTACTGTTTGTTGTAGTTACTCGCTGAGCCACCCCTACTGGACATCTGTGAAAAAGGGCTTCATAGTTCGTCGGGATTCCTCCAGGATACATAAAGATTCTGATTTTACTGCATCTGTGTCCAAATTGGACAAACTGGTCATTTGAACTCTTGTCATTTTTTTATTTCTGTAAATGAGATCAAATATTTAATAGAAAAAAAACGACCTCTGACCTGATAATTTGTCTTTTTTTGTGCAGCCGTTGTTGATGTGGCTGAAATGACAACTCGCTACTCTTGAAGACCGAGCTTAACCATGGGCGACTAAAAGCCAGATTTTCAACCTGGGATCTCGGTGGTGGCAGCTCATTGTCTCTTACACAGCCACAAAGTATGAGCCCTCTTAAGCCACCCACGCTTGCCGATCCCGTGTTGCCCCCGGCCAGGTCGCACTGTGCGTCCGCGCCGTTTGGTGGAGGCGTCGAAGTCCAGCACGGCCGACTACGACGGCGACAACATCCCCATGGAGTGGCAGGGTGGGTGTAGGACCTATCCAAAAAGCACACCAACGTGCCTAACGTAAAAGCAGCAGTGGTCATCCGGGCAGCGACATGGCCCAGCGGTAGCGTGCTCGCCGCTTGTTGCAGAGGTTCACGGTTCGAAACCGGCAGTTCACCCTGGTTATTGCTGCGGTGTATTAACCGGACAAAAAAACGCATCAATTACCTACAAATTACCCAGTTGGCATTACGGATATCAATCATAGCCTCTACTGGTATACTAGATGCGTCTGTAAAACACGGCCTTCGTGATAGCCCTGCGCTATATGAATGGCATGAATACCAATTATAATAGATATTACAAATATCACTGCATGGAGGGCATCCCCTTATGAACATTTATCGTGAGGGTACACAACATAGCCGGGCATAATCCCCCCAAATAACTTTCATCGGTTGTTCATTCAGTAGCTCTGAATGCATCCATTGAACCTGCATCTAGAAAATCCAATCATGTACCTCTACAGCCCTTTTGTCAATCCGAGATTCAGCGTTAAACGGGACAACCCAGCCTGCAACTTGCAGACGTCTCGGAACGGGAAATGGTTGACTTCCTAGATTGGGTGCATTCTGGGTGATTTGGTCAAAGGCTAGGTGGTTGGCAGCAAGGGAGGAGTGCAGCAAAATCCATTGCGCCGCTGTGCTCTGTGCTTCCAACTCCCTGTGCTCGCTGCCTTCACCATCCAGCACTGACCAGCATGGGTGAAGCGTGACCTGATAACTGGAGTAACGTGTAGACTATCAAAGGAACGGCTTCGTTCCTTGCGGCGTACAGAACAGTCCAATTGATGCTTGCCCAGTTGACGTCGATGGTTGTGTTTGTTTGTGCAGCGTGGATGCAGGGAAAGAGGGATGGTGCCCCGACCATAGAGGTGAGTGACAAGGCACAGCCTGGTGATGGAGCAGCACCGCACGGGGGGTGATGGGCGTTTTCACACTCTCATCCGGTGGAAAGATCGCGGCAGTAGCAAAAACGACATTGGCCCCCGATGATTTCTAGATCCCAAATTGCTGACATTTCTTCACAGTCCAGCATTTGCAAACGCGTCGCCTTCCTCAAACGAGCATTGCATTCATACTCTTTGGTTCTATTCGGTAAAGTCACGTAGGTAAAAATAAAATAACAAAAATCACGACGTTTCGGCCACAACACAAGTGGCCTTCATCAGGTGAAGGGATAGGATTGTCCAGAGGACAGCGTTGGAGCATTGCATTGGCCATGATGGTTTTCATTAGGCCAGTGGGTGGACATTCCACATTGGAATGGTCGGAGATGAGTAACTTGCAAAGTACAATTATTTCTAACATCTTAAAAAAAAAGTACTGAGAATGATGCATGCTTGGAATATCACTGAGAAATGGAAAAGGGAACACATGGATTGGAGAACATTCACAGGTGAATGATGTCATCGGGGCACACGAGCCTTTCTGTTTAACGAGTGAGATGTTCCAGTCCAGCCTGTGACGATCGTCCTCACCGTATCTCTAACATTTCCCCACTGTATTCCACATTTTGGTTACCACTTCTTGATGTACATTTTTCATTGTCTCACTCGGTTTGTTGCAATGCATTGCCTGCTCAGTACACTGATGTTGAACATCATGAGCCTCCAGGAAATGTGATTTCCTGCCTCAATGATTTCGTGAATGTCAACGTTCAATTTTCCCAGTCGCCCTGAATAACGTTACATTGAGATTTCAATCTAGATTTGAAGCTTTCGTGACTGCAGGAATCCATACTCTCTGGTTCTTTCGGTAAAGTCACGTAGGTAGGTTGAGGTTTCACTTGATATGAAATCTGCGACAGAACACTGTAGTTATTCCCTCTGCAATGACCCTGAAGGTAGTTAATGGTTACATGTGGTAATCTGATTACATCGTGAAAACGGTGATAATAGGGGATTACCATTTACCTCGATTTCACCTCTCAGCACTGTGGACTAGAGGTGTATGGTTATAGCCACTGATAGCAACCTGGAACTTGTGAATGAATGGGCCCCAGCCCCCTGTGAATGACCTGGGACTCGAAGAGCTTTGCCCCCCCCCCCCACCTCTCTAGGATGCGCTAGGACACATTGGTACTGTCCTGGTTGTTTCTCCAGCTCTCCCTGGGGCTCGTTGTGCTGAGCCCCCTAGTTGCTTCGTTCTGACCGCAGTGTTGCTCTCTTTTCTTCCTCCCGTTTCGCTCTCTCCTCTGCCCTGACCGCCACCGCTACCGCCACCCCCTTCTACCCTCATGTAGTTTTACTTTTGTTTATCACAATTGATTGCCTTTAGAGGCGAGGTAACTTTAATGATTGAGTGAGTCAGCAGGCTGACACCATCAACGCACTACGCTTCAAAAACCCGGATCGATTAAAAGTGGCTGAAACCCAGAGCCGAGGCACTCGTAGACTCAGCGGCTCGCCATCTCTTGACACGGCCTGTGCCTTGTTGCCGTCGCCGCTGCACCCGCAGGAGGTGTCTCGCCGGGAGGCAACGAGCCACCTGGTGGCCGAGCGGGGCCGCCTGAGCGAGATCAAGGATGAGGAGGCCCAGCAGCGCGCCTACGAGGAGGGACTGGTGGCGCGTGCGGCCACGCGAGCTCCGGGCCACGCCGCGCTGACCCACGGCGCGCCGCTAGGCCCGTCGCCCGAGCCCGGCGGCACTGCCGGCAAGTTCCATCCAGGATCGTGGCTCCCGGGTGAGGGGGCGGACACCGGCGGAGGGGGTAAAGCGGCGACTACAGGACGGGACGGCGGTGGCTTCCAGCCGGAAAGTTGGACACCTGGACAAGAGGGCACGAAACAATGAGCCCTTGCCCATCGTCGATTCCTTTCCACCCGGTTATGTACAACCCAGCATTTCCAATTTTGGGAGTCGTGTCAAGGATTAAATGGTTAAAGGTTGCAGCCGCTGCAATTGGTTGCTTACGCCACTGCTGAATTTAAAACTTACAAACTAAACTAGTTTTATTTTAGCAGGTAAGGCCTACTGAGCTAGCTTTGTTTTTTTTTTCAGAAGCCACAAATGATCGCTCAATTGAGTGGCTTGTTCTGTGCACATTTATAGCAGCCAAATACTCTAAATGCATGTTTCTAAATGTGGAGGGAAAAACTGGAGAACTCGGAGAAAAATCCACGTGACCACGGGTAGAACATGCAAACTCCAAATATACAGGCGTCAGGGTCGTGATCGAACTGAGGACCTGTATTCCGGGCAAGGTAGTTAACACCTCGCCACCCTGAATGAAGGGCCTCGACTGGAGGGAGCTCAAGAGAGGCCCTTTATAGGGTATGTTAGGCCTACTCTTCCACGCAGGCCCCAGACGTCTTGGAAAAAGTGGACGTCTCTACACTATGCCCGACCACGTGCGACCCGCCAATCGACTGTGATGTACGCATCCATACTGCTAGGTGGACAACGGTGGCGGAATTGAATAAACTTGCCCATTGTTTGATCTGCTGTGCTGGGAGAACGAGCTGGAAAAACAAATGTGGATTACAAGTATTGCATGCTAGCCATTACACCACGACAGTATCGTTGGAGTCATGTAATGAGGGCAAATAAATATTTTTTCTGGAAGTTATTTTGTCGGTAATTTGCACACCTCTGATTAGTGCGGTTGGCTACGTACGGTGCGAAAGAAGTTCTGCATACGTATTGGGGAATGGTCCTTGAATAAACAATTCAGACCTAGTGGTCTAAAGTCACTTCAGTAAGCCTCTGTCACGCTTAACATAAAATTAGTGGCGCCATCCTAATCTGCAAGGTGTAAGAACTGCTTGTCAAACATGCAATGTAAACAATGTATACATATTAGTCGTATAACAACACACTACGGCATTCGATGCACGTGGCCTTGGGAAGGACATGTCTCTAAAAGGGATGACGGACGGAGGCCGAACCTAACAAACTGGAAGTCCAAGGAGAAAATCGTACCTGAGAACACGTCCACCGCAGAGATGGAGCAATGAAATCGGTTCATGTGGAGGTGGTTTCCGGATCGTTGGGCCGAGAGACTGGTGGTGTTGGAAAACTTAATTTCCTGAAGGCCTGATTTATAAGGAGATGTATTGTTATCACAGTTACTGATCAGTGGCGCAAAACACCATTGGCCAGCAACAAACAGCACTATTAAAGTGTGCAATGGTAAAGCGTTAATACGTTTCTTGAACTAGGCAAGGCTCTATAAGCGTGTGGGGAAGTAAACGATGCGAGGGATTGTCCAAAGTGATTCGGAGTTTCCTTTTATTAACCCTTGGTGATCTTCGCCGAGCTCAGTGTTGTCGGTGGTCCGACATAGCTTTGCGGGGAATCTACGCCACAGACATCGCCATCGTTAATCTTGGCATTCGAGTGAAAGCGTCGTTGCTCAAACACGCGTTGGGTGTTGCTCATCTCAATTGGTGGCTCCGAGGCGGTAGTAGCGACTCCACGTTCAGCTGGTGGGTGCAAGGATTGCACCCAAAGCACAATCACTGTTGACTTGCCACAAAGCGGAGGGGTAGCTATTTTTGTCTCTATCCTAGATGGTTAATGAGCTACGCCGACTTAAAATTTCAATTTGAATTAAGCCACCAGACTTGGAGAAGTACTTGCCCTGATAAAATGTCACGTGTAAAGTAACAACAACAAAAAAAGACACGTGTAAAGCAATGACATTTTATTAAAATAGCACGTAACATTCCACTTTCATAAATGTCAAATATACAAAATATACGAGGGTTAAAACATTGTGAACCGCCTTTGTAAAACATTGTCAATGCTACACTTATTTTCAGCATGCTTTTTTCTCATGGTTTTTGTCTTTAAAACATGTTTTCAGCACGATTAAAACAACGTCTTTACTCAATGCCATCGCTATGTTGAGCATCCTATAAACCAGCGGCCCCCAACCTTTTTGGCACCAGGGACCGGTTTCGCGTGGAAGACAATTTTTTTCACGGACCGGTGGAGGGGGGGGGATGGGTTCATCATTGGGTCTTTCCCCCTTTTCAAAGAAGCTCTCCAGCGACGTTTGTTTTTTACTCATTTTGGCTACTAGGGGTTAGAGCTTGTGGGCTTACCAACACTGTGACTGAGACAAGTGCGCAGTGCGGGAATGAGGCGCGGATGGAAGTGGTAAATAATTAAATAATGGGGCGGGCCACGCGCGGACTCACCGCTCATCTCCTGCTGTGCGGCCCAGTTCCTAACAGGCCACGGTCCGGTTCCTAACAGGCCAAGGACCGGTACCGGTACGTGGCCCGGGGGTTGGGGACCCCTGCTTTAAACCGTTAACCAAATACAGTACCTGCTAGAATTGATACGAATGTAGATTGTTTAAGGCACCAGTGTCAGAGTTAATGCTATGAACACAATGGTAGGTTTTATGTTATGATTCTACTGCAATAAAATACACTTTTTGGATAAATTATGAATACTGAATACAAGTGCAACATAAAGCAAACATCTGGGGCCACCAGCGTGTGAGACTTCCCCCCGTGGTGGAACTTTGATGCAAACTTCCACCCAGGGGCAGTGTCTTTGAGGTCACAGGGTTGCCAGCGCCATGGCTGTCCAGCAGCACACGTTTAACTTGGGCAATACTCTGCAGCAATTTTGAATCCATCTGTCCAGGCCTTTTAAAAATGCAGATTCGTTATGGCTCCATTGATGTGCCAGAAGTTGCAGGTGGTTGGTTTTGGCAGCAGGAGCATGAGAAGTAGCTGCCTCCAATGCACCCGCAACAGTCAAGAGTTCCCATGCCATGCCACGAATTAGTACATCTGAACTTTTGTTACCGCGCATATGAGTCCATTCCATCACGAGAGTGCACGAACCACACCTAGTAATCTCTTCGTAAAAACACCGTTAAGTTCTTTGCAAAACTTGCTCAGGCTCAATTATAGGTCGCGAACATCAACCGGTAACTGGTTCTGGGTCTTTAGGCCGGAGACCCAGAAGCTGCACTGGCCGTAGCGCGCAAGGTTTGCACGCAGGTGAAACGGCGTCAGTTGGGGTTGCTTGATGATGGTACACATTGCTTGGCTGGATAGGATGGAGTGGAATGGTGCAGGACTCTTGTAGATACATAGGCAGAGTTTGTCAACAATCCCGTGTTTGACTGCGCTTGTAGCTCTTCTCGTATCGAGGTCACGATCGCATTACAAATTTTGCGGCTAAACTCTCAGGCCTGCCACGGCATTCGACACTGGAGCGGACACAGATGCACAGGGGTGGCGCAGCCGAAACTTCCGTTGCATTACTCCGCGCGGTGAACTCGTGGACGACCACCCTGGCTGTCTCAATGGCCCATGCGTCACGGACTGCACAATTGTCGAAGCTGATGGAAGCGCCGTCCGTTTGAGCGCCTGACGTGAGTGGCGAAGGTTGGCAAGGATGCGGGGGACGCGTTACTTTATACGACACTGGGATGCCGCAGTCGTTCAGGGGAATGGACTCTTAGTTGACCCTGGCGAGCTGATGGTAGGTTCCCGAGTGTGATGATTTCAACTTATCAGAATTCAGTTTCAGATATCATCCAGCAGGTCCGCTCTCTTGGCCATCACCCCAGAAGAGGCCTTGATGTTTCTTCCAGGAAGAGAGGATTACAGACTGCAGTACTATCACCGGGCAGTAGCGGCAAATGCACATTCTCTACCTTTGTTAATTTTTCTTTTTAGTTTTTCCATCCAAATTTAGGGGACTTCAGAATGGTCTAATAAAGTGCGCTTGAACCCAGGGTTAGGCATGCGAGTGATAACTGTCTAATTCATAGTTGTTTGAACTAGCTAAACGTTGATTCAACTTTAGATCTGTGTGGGCCAGACGGAATGTATGCCAGCAGTTCACCTGACCAGTTTCTTTTACTCAAATATTTATTTACTTCATGAATTCTCTCCATCCGCATTTTGCCCCAGCAATTGGTGCCCTGAAAGCAATGTGCTTTCACTCTGGAAGTAACACGTCGAATGCTTTTCAAAAGATTGCTAATTGCTTCATTTTCTGCACAATTGCCAAACTTCCATTTTGCTATGGGCATTTTCTCCGGACAAGGCATGAATGTGCAACTCGTGAAGAGTGTCACGCATCTAGAACACGGTGGGCACTCGTCGAGTTTCAGATTCAAGTCGTTGTGCTTGTAGGCCTTGGAGATCACCGTCGGAGGGAATTTTAAAATGCCACTTGCATCTGGGTTGTTTTGGGCGAATGTGACAGCTTGTGCTACGAGTGGATGCCAGTTAAACAGGCAGTTGAGGGCCAACATTATTTCTGACGCTTCTTTTCCTGAACAGCTCAAGGAGGCGCCCCAGAAAGGCATCGCTGGGGCATTTATAATGTCGTCACCTTGCTCTTCATCACAGAAACAACTTTGTGATACTACAGTGGCAAAAAAAGGCAGTTTTGGCTGCGTTGGGGAATAAGGCTTCAGAATTCTTTCAGCAAGGCCCTCCAGAGTCTTCTTGATGGCATCGCTGTTTCCAGGACCTTCAGCACGCACGACCTGTGTTCAAAACATATTATGAGAGGGATGAGAGAGTTGATAACGTTACCACAAGTTTAGTTTCAGAACAATGTACAACAAATAACCAGTTAATGTTAGCTCAGAGGTTTAATATGTGTGAATGCTTCGATAGGAAAACTTTTCGTGGTATCTTCTGAAACCCATTCACCTCGTGCTGCCAACAGCTCTTCAGAACCTTTAGCTTTACAAGATAATTGTATACACACTCACCATCTCTAGCAGAATCGAGTATGGTGTTGTCCTTGGCACGTGGGTTTTGAATGCATCTGGGTTTGCTGACGAGCTTCTGAATTTCTCAAGAATAGGCATCTCTTCAGGGTTGATGCGGGGTTTGTTGATTTGTCCAAGGAATAGAATTGAGTGCCGAACCTGTGAAAAATACAGTACATGCGGTTTTACATTTTACATTCATCTGTTGGTCGTGCGGGAGGGAGTGTGGCACAGATTGGTACCCGGCTATCGTAGAGTGCAGTCGTGTCGCTACAGTT